AATAATAAATTTGAAAAATAATTTACAGGACAAACGTTTACAGGGCAAATCCCCTTTCTGAAGTTATTGCCCACTTTATCCTAGCGTCATAAGTTTAAGTATTGTGTAACTTTCTCCTTTTAATTTCTAAAACAAATAAAAGGACAATTTTAAGGTGTCATTCACTTAGGGGTTTTCCCTGAGGAACGAATATTCTAAAATGCAAGAAACACCCTTCCAACAGAACTGGATACAAAGTAACGTTAGAACAAAGACAGACGGACTTCCATAATCATTACGTGCTCTTCCAAGGTTTCTAGTAATTAGTAAAGAATACAGGGGCCCCGCGTGAAAGGTCAAGGGAAGAAGAAGTCTTCTGTCTTGAGGTTTTTAGGCGGGGGAAATCCAACCTGCAGCGATGGTGTTTTCATTGACAGATTTAGAGAGCAAGATTATGAAAGTTCTTTTTTTCTCCAGATAGTTTAAGTTCACTCATGCGATCAGAATACGTTGGCGCGTATTTACTTTCACTTAAAACCTTTTGTTATTGTTGTTTGTTGCAATGATAGATTAAAAAAGAGAGCTTATTGTCGGTGTAATATTGTGAAAAACAATTCATAATCGAATTTTTGTGAAATGAAATGATTATGATCAAAAAAGAAGGGAACACATATGCAATGAAAATTGAGTTTTATGATTTTGATGTTGAAAAGGATGATTTTATTTTGAATAATGTTTACTGACAAAAAGATGTTAAAATTTAAGAAGAAAACAATGCTGGTTGTTGCAGTAATAAATAAGCAAAGTTCGATAGGAAAGGTTTTTGATCTAGCTGCCGTCTTATAATGCGAGGTAGCTAGATTTTGGTATGATGTAGCATAGTGACATTTTATTTTATTTAATAACCGTCGTTGAACAGTCGACCCAATTTTGGGTTTAAGCTTAACCCCGTCCCGCCCCCGTAAGGGGGCATCCGGGGACACCCCGAGAGTTCAAAGTGAGCGCAACAGTTCAATTACGTAAGCAAACATATTCAAAATTTTCAAATTAGAGTTTTAACAAATAGGTAGAATATTAAATATGAAATCCAGAAAACAGTGCTACTTAGAAGCAAACAAACATTACAAAGAAAATAAACAGTAACAATCAGAAGAGATATTGATGTCGCATCTTCAGTAGGGGGTGCATAGGTAATAAAGGGAAACGATTTCACATGGAAAATATAGGATGTTCGTAACTCAGAATTTAAGGCTATTAATGCTCAACTCAGTAGCCTTGTAATTTTGAACCCAATCCAGAAGACAAGGAAACTCCTGGATCAACTATTGGGAGAAATTTTCCTTCGTGGAGGACATTTTTATGAAACTATCCCGCATTTGCGTTTCATGTAAAGGAAGACCACGAGTTCCTCCCACGGTTAGCTTGACGGTAAGGAGACTCTAACCCATGATCCGTCTACCACTGAGGATATTTCACGTCAGCACTGTGGTCGGTGTTATCCGGATGCGGACCGTATCGATTGGGATTCGAACCCAGCTCGCCTTATTGGAAGGCGAACACTCTACCCCTTGAGCCATCGAGACTCTCATCTTTTAATTTAATTTTATTTCATATCCGTCATTGAACAGCCGACCCAATGTTTACGACTACTACTGCTCAACTCGTCCTTCTAATTTTGAACCAATCCAGAAGACAAGGAATCTCCCAGATCAGTACCCCCAGAGGTATTGATTTGTTATGAAAACATGGAGGACTTTGCGACTCGACAGAGTTAACGTGCATCAGTCACCATTTACTACACGGGGAGTCTTTAGCCGGCGGGGATCGAGCCCATGAACTCATGGACATGGGCCCAGTGCCCTACCAACCAGGCTATCCCGGCCCTCATCTTTCAATTGTAATATACTAGTACTGCAATTACTAAAATGTACCTATAATATTACGGTCACCTCTAAATTTTAACCGTAATACCATTATCAACCGCAATACCTTTGTCATCTATAAAATATAACCTTAATATTATTGTCAACTTTGAAATATACTCATTTTTTAAATTATTTTGATAATACTAGATTCATGTCTAAAATGAACTCATAATACCAATTTCTATTTTTTCCGTCAAATAATAGAATTTTAAAGTAATGGAGGACATTGAAAAGATATAATCTAAAATTCAAAAAATTATTATAACATTCAGAAAATTAAATTTTGGTTTTATTAGCTGTGGGTCCTTATTAACTTTGACAATTTCTTTCAATAGAGTGAAGAATCAATCTTTACACCAAAAATTGTAATTAACACATTTTAGAATAATTATTAAATAATAAGAATAAAAATTAATAAATAATTTTGAAAAATGCAAAAAAAAAATTTGAAATCTTTAAAATGCTTCCAATTATGTATTAAAATATTATATATTAATCGTATATTATTTTCTTTTGGCACAATGCATTTAATGAGAAAAAAATTTATTAATTCAACCCCAACGAAACAATAATGCCTCACATTATTTAAGCATATAAATAAAAACTCCATTAATCAAGCATAATTTGCTTGATAAATTTCCTTTTCAGCATTTTTATTTCTTTTTTCATGCATTTTTACGTTAAACAGGCATATTATTTTAATATTATATCTCAAATTAATGAATTACTTCAGAAATCTTTACTGATTTCAAGTTTTTAATCAGATTTACCTCAAGTAATGACGCCAACTTGTAGAACTCGATTACGCATTTATATTTGTAGAGAATGCTGTGGGCTTGAACAATGAGAGAATTAAAGAGAATTTCTAGTTCTTTAATTTGTTAAGTCAAAATTATTATTATTATAATTATTTTGATTAAATAGATATATAGAGATTTTTTCTTATTGTTTTCCTCCATTTTCTTTTAGCGATGCTTAAAAACGTTGACAAATGATAGAAAACCCGTTATTAATGATTCATGTACCTTTTATTATTTATGTGTAATGCTAGAGGGAATGTTTGATTTCAAGACTAATGTCTTTTGTGTATGTATAATAGTATCTTTTTACGTTGTTTTGAATAGAAAAAAAAATTTTTTTTTAATCGTTAGCAATAAATGTTGGAATGATGCATGAAAATGAGCTTTACTTGGAGAAATGTTGTTTTTGTGTTTGGGAAACCTACATTTTGGTTTTTTACTTTTTATAGATTTGAAAACCCCTTTTTTCCTCCTGTTCTCTTACGTTTTGAGAATCCCATTTTTCTATTTTTATTTATTTATTTATGTTTTGCCTTATTTTGTGCATCTGTAACTCGTATTTTTGTGCTTTTTATCATTTTTGTTTTGGAAATATATTTTTCTGTGCTTCGACTCTTTTTTTTTTTTTTTTTTTTTTTTTTTTTNTCATGTTTCTGTGTTTTTCTTCTTTTTCGATTCAGAAAAATTTTTTGTGTATCACTTTTCATTTTGAAAAAAATTTTGTGCTTCTCTTTTTGTTTTAAAACCACGTATTTTGTGTTTTTTTTTTTTTTTTTCNACGTATTTTGTGTTTTTTTTTTATTTTTTCTCTTTTTCGATTTGGATACATATATTTTTGTGCTCTCTTTTTCTTTAGGAAATCCATGCTTTTGTTTTTGTTTCAACAACAAAAAAAAAAGTTTTATCTTCTTTTTTTTACTGCCGCGGCTGAGTTCTTAAAAAGGAGGAGACTCGCTGTTCTGCTAGAATTAAAATTACCCATGATTTCAATTATTTTTCCTAACTACTTTATGAAAATATTTTCAAAGTTGTTGTTTGTTTGTTTTTCGTATTTTACAGCTTTTTTTAGGTGCAAAATCCATTTTATCAAATTTAAATTAACCTTTTACATTTAATTAAACAACTTCTACTAACAACTAAACAACTTTTTTTTTTTGGAAACCAGTTTTTTTTTTTTCATTTTAGAAACATTTTCGTGCCTCTCTTTTGGATTAGTAACCACGCATTTAGTGTTTTTCTTTTTTCTTCTTCTTTTTCTTTCTTTTTTTTCTTTCTTTTTTTTTCTTTTTCGCTTCGGATACATATATTTTTGTGCTTCTCTTTTTGTTTAGGAAATCCACGTTTTAGTGGATTTTGTTTAAAAATACGTCCTATCCTTTTTTTACCTAGTGTCACGGCTGAATTCTAAAAAAAATGTGACTCTTAAGAATTAAAATTACACATGATTTCCCAGCTTGTTCTTCGCCTTTTCCAAATGAAAAAGAATTTTGACTGTAATTCTTTATTGTAATAGATTTCTTTTTTACTGATGTGAAAAATTCCAATTTGATGATGATGATTTTTTTATTTTTTTTACGAATGCAGTTGCATTTTTGAGAATACAATTGCGAAAATACTTTTTTATTTTAGAATCTTACAGAATTTTACAATCAGCTTGAGTTTTCCTCATTTTACATAGACGTTCTAAATTTTGCAGATTCTTCTATTTTTTTCAAAAAAAGAAAGAAAAAAAAACAACTTTGAAATCAGGCTAACATAAGCATTAATTTAAAAAAAAATGCAGCACATTAAGATGAAATAAAAAAAAGCAGACGATAAATTTGGAACTTTTTCTTTATTTTTACCAGAGTGCCTTTTTAATGTTTTCATATAATATTAATTTAAAGTAGTTTTATGTTCTTTTTATAACTTATTCATAATGACTGTCTCGGAAGCAATTTTAATATAAATATGAATATTTCGAAGGAAAAAAATTTTATGGTGTCTTAAAAAACGTATAATGGCTTGATCAATGGGTAACCAGTATTCGCATTAATGCGATCACAATTTTCTCTCTTTTGGAATTAATCGTTATTATATTCTTTTCTTTTATTCATTTTGAGCTGAAGCCAGCCAGAGATTTTCGAAATCTCATTGAAAATTAAGAGTCTAATCATGTGATTTTTCTGACTAATCAGACGGCACCATTCAGGAACTGTCTTAGACCATAATGTTTTTGTTATTTAAAGAAATATTTCTAAAAATAGCGACTTAAGCGCTAATAGATAAGGCAATAATTACTTTTTTATTTTTCCAGGTAGCACTTGTTCTCCTTTTAACGAATTCATATTTTCTCATGTGCTATCCTTCACCATGGAGAACATACAAACCAGTGTTTCTCCCTGGACCTCAATTTTGTCCGGATACTGGCAGGACTGTCTGCACAAGTGTGGAATACTATCCAGCGTAATGATACATTTTATTATTTTTACAAACTATATGTGTACATGTGATTTCTTAATTTTTTTTTGCGAAAATTCTTAGTTTATACTTAAAATAGTTTTTTTTTTTTAAAAATTAACCAAATGCTTAGTTTTTTTTTCTTTTTGAATTGCAGAAAAAAATCCACTTTCGACAAAAAACCTATTATGTAAAAATATATATCATGTAAATGTCATTTAACGAGTTTTTTTTCCATTAAAATCGGGAGTTCTCGAAGCTTCTAAAAATAACAAGGATGCAAAGCTTAACATTTATAGCCGTACATTCGTTATAGATTAACTATTACTAACAGATTATTAAAAAAAAATTACCTCCAACTTTTTCAACTCTGTATACTGTCGCAACTGTTACATGAGCAAACTTATATAAAAGTTTCTCGACCGAACATAACTTTTTTTTATTTTTTAAATAACAAGGGGGAGGGGGAAATACTGGTTTTATGAGCGAGAAAGCAAATAGAGAACTAACGTTCTAACTTCGGCTTAACGGTTTTGTGTTTTTAAAAACGATATGTCTTCGTTTTTTTATTTTTATTATTATTTATTTATTTACATTGTAAAACTTTTAATAGCTTTGTCTGTTTCACAATAATTAACACTTGACCGCGATTTTAGAAGAGAAGGATTTTTATTAGTATTCTAAATAAACTTTTAAACACATCTGTGTAATACTTCATTTTCTAATCACTTTTAACGACGTGATCTTTATTTTTTGTTGTTTAACCTAACCGTGAAGAGTGAGGTGTTAAGTTCTGAACGTGACCTGCATATCCTTGCAAACAATAAAGTTGCTTTTGGAACAACGGAAGACGATGTTGCAGTAGTCTCTTGTTCACCTGCTGACTTTTTTTTTCTTCATTCATTATTAATTCTTCGTATTATTCTTTACTTTTTTTTTCATTTGCTTTTATGTATCATCATTCCGCTGTCATCCATAATAGCAGACGATTATAGAAAGAAAGTTTTATTCACTGGATGGTCTATTTTAAATTTTGTCTGACAGAATTATGTTATTTGTCTATCTTTTTTTAATTAAATCGTTTGATTTATAACGTTGTATACTCGTAAAATAAATTTCATTAAAAGGCAAGTTCTTTTCTGTTGTTTGTGGGAGCAATTTAGATTTATTTTAAATTCTCATTCAAACTAAAACAATTTTAATTTAAGTAATTTTATATAATATTTAATCTTTTTTAAATAGCATATTTCGACAGTATGCTCATGTGAAGGCATTTTTCTAAAATTATGAATTGAAAACCATAGAAACGATAAATCTGCCGCACTACATATATCTTCGTAAATTTAAATTTATCTGCGACCCTAACACACTCAGACAGGAAAGATTATTATTGTGAAAATTAAACTTAATGTATCATACATGTTACATAATTTGCAAATATAAGGTACTTTACTTATTCATAAAAACTTCATTTTGTTTAAATTTAAGTTGAATTTCATACTATGATGATAAAAAAATGGAATAAATAATTGCCTGCACTTGTTTAAAAAACGCAACTCTCGTATATAAATCGCGCGTTTATCACTTTTTTGCCGTACTTTTCATGTCAATTGCATTATAAATCCAAGTTGGTTTTCAATAATTTTTGCAGCAGTTTCTGCAATGCATTCTTACGTAGTTTTAAAAATTCCAATTTTTATTACGGCATGCGAATTTTAAATTACGTATTTAAATAGTTACTTATTACCGTATTTTATTCATAATAATTTCATTGTAAATTTAATCAGTTTTTATTGTTGTTGTAAATGTTGTATTGCTATGTTTTTCGTGATTTCGACGATTCCGTTTCTTTAGTTACGATATTAATACGACACGCGAATTTCCAATCGCAAATTCATGTAATCACTATTTGATGCAATTTGTTTGTGCGTATTTCATCGCAAATATTTATTTGTGTAAAAAGCTATTTTTTCGTAGTTTTGGCAGTTGGCACTATGCATTTGTACGCGGCATTTAGAATATCATTATTTTAATTCAATGTTATTGTACCATGAAGAAATCGAAAATTTGAGGAAAACGCTAGCTTTTAAACTGCGTAATATTTGAAATGCTTAATATTTGTAATTTATTTTATTGCAAATTCTTTTTTAGCTTAGGTGATTTCTTTAGGAAAAAGCTAAAGAGGAAATGTTTTCTATTTAAATTCTTAAAGCCTCTAATAATTCAAGTAATACAAATAATATCTGAAAAATAATGTTAAAATATAAAAGTTAAAATATTGAGAAAATATGGAAAATAATAAAAAATAATGACAAAAGAAGAAAAATTATTAAAATTATTTTTTAAAAGTATTTAAAAAAATATATTTTATTTATCTAAAAAAAAATTATTAAAAATCCGGAAAGCAAAATTTAACTTATTTAAGTTATTTATGTTATCTGAAAATTACTTATTTAAGTTGTCTAAAAATATGTTATTGAGTGTACTGATAAAAGAAATCAGTTCTTAGAACACTAATGTTTAATCATATTTGCCGCTAACATAAGTAAATATGATTGCGGCCCTTTGTTGATCTACCTGCTGTGCAAGTGGCTCTTCACTCAAAAAAGTTGTGGTGCTTTATTAAATAAAATTGCAATTTAGTAATTTTTAAAATGCTTATGAGTAAATAGTTATATAATGTTTATTCTAATAGATGAATAATTGATGTTCTAATTCTTTCTTCTTTATTTAAAGTTGTATCCAGTAAATATCGTATCGTAATCGTAAATCGTAAGGCAAAAACACCGGAGACACTATGCCCAAATACATTGATATAACAAAAAGGGATTACGTTTTTCCTCCTACAATATTTATGTTTTCTTAGTTTCACCAGGATATTTGAAAAATAAAAAAATTTGATAGCTTGCGAATTAAGTTCTTTTTTGTCCCCAGGGTGACAATCCTAAAAAAATGTTGCAATACGGACATTTAGGAAGTCATCGAAGATAAATGAAAAGAGAAAGACAACAATATTCAAATAATTCACAAACAGGAAATGTGACTGTTCCAAATTTAGTTCATTCAATCTGTTTTTATTCATTCTTGAATACATGAAGAAGAAAAAATGTATATCTATGTGACATCCATTAACATTGAAGGAAATGGATTTTGCAAAAACATCTTCTTTGGAAAGACGTCTATTTTGAATGTATAACCAGATTGCATTAAAAATAGTGTGAAAATGCGACACTTTAATAGCTCTTAACGCAGACAAATAGAATAGCAGACTGTGATTTAAAAAAGTGGACATCCGTGTTTAACTGCTTATTTAACAAGTCAAGGAAGTAAGTTAACAAACATCAAGACGGAAAAGAGCAAAAACTGGCGAGAAAATCATTTTCTTCTAACTTATTTTCGTGAAAAGTAAAATAACTATAACTTCCAAGATATTTTTTTAACAGTTATGAACGCATTGACTGTTTCTTGACCGAATAAATAATGATGAATTGTTTATTATTAAGAGCTTATTTTGCTTTTCCCGAAAATCAGCTAAAATTGAAATTGGTTTCACTACTAGTTTTTTTCCTTTTTCAATCTCGCTTTCCGGCTTTAGTCTAGAAGGGGTACATTTAACTAACAGGGGGTACATTTTAACTAAATAGTTCGATGGAGCATGAAGATTACAGTTTTCACCGTATAACGGACAGTCTCTTGTATATAAACACGAAACTAAAAGAAATTGAGTACTTTTCGGTTAGCTAGGAACAAGGAAATTCTGCTTGTTTTTTCTTAGTTTTTTTTTATTTAATTTTTTTTAAAATTATTTAATTTTAAAATGTCAAAAAAAAGTTGGTGGTCTACATTTTTTTGGTGACTTTTGTGCCCGGCGACTGCATTTTTGGCGACTTCTACGATTATGCCCGAATAACCGAAAAGTTCACGAAATTGAAATACCTCTAGATTTTTTAGTTTCACTGTGGTTGTTATTTTAACAAGTGGTTGTTATTTTGTACGCATAACATATTTTTCTCATGTTTCAAATGCATTTTAATTATTTGATGGAAACATGTTTAAAAAATGAAAACTCCAATCGCTCAGTTGAATATTGAAATTACAGCAAGAGATTGCTAGTTTTCCTTTTAATTTTTTTTAAAATTCAACCAAGATGTTTCACTAAGATAAATGTATCTGAGAGTTTACGAATCATGTTTTATATTTGTATAAGCCCAAAAAATGCTAATGAACTTTGAGGAAATCGCAGAAGATAAATGAAGGGAGAAGAACAACAATACCCAAATAATTCACGAACAGGAAAAGTGACTGGTCTAAATTTAGTTCATTCAAACTGTATTAATTCATTCTCGAAAAACAGTCTTCAAAAAAGTTATAAAAAAATATCCATATCTATGCGACATCCGTCCCCACTGGAGGAAACGGATTTAAAAAAAAAACAAGTATCTTCCTTTTCCTTTAAAAAGACATCTTTTCGAATATATACCCGGATTTTACTATAAATATTATGAAAATGCGACACATTAACAGTTTTTACCGCAGACAAGTAGGACAGCAGACTGTGATAATAAAAAAAAATTGGGCATCCGTATTAACTACCTATTCAACAAGTCCAGAAGCGTCTTCCTTAGGTGGCTTGAAAGAACACGAAGGAAATTGTTTTTAAACAAGGGACAGACTGTCCCTTGTTTATAAACAAGGAGCTTTACGAGATTGAAAGTACCTCCGGGTTTTAAGTCTCACTTGTCAGAAACGTGAGGTTTTCACCTCTTATTTCCTTATTTTAGATGATCATTAGTTTTTTTTTTCTATCTTCTTGAAGACGTCTTGAGTAACATTTCACGGCGGTGTCGTAAAAACGACGTTGACCTTCTTTTCACTCAAAAAACCACAAAGAATACATTTCCTATGGGATAGATCAGCTGAAGAAAAACCTACGCGAAACAAAGATAAATTTGCCCTCGTTTTTGTTTGAGGGCTGCTAAAATGATTAAACAATTTGAATAATCATGCTCTAAAAGTTGCACTTTTTGTTTTCTACTTGGCGATTTTTTCTTTCTTTTTCCTGTTAGATATTAAAGTGTTGAAATGTTTTTGAATAAAAGATATTACATATTGTTTTAATTTTACTAGGTATTGTTTGTAGAAAAAAAAGAGCCGTATTGAATATTTTATTTTTTTTATAAATGACAACTATGTATTTTACCCTAAATGTTAAATAGACGATATTGCGAAAATAAAACACCTTTAAATTTATATTGTGAATTTCGAAAACAAAAGGAAATAATATAAGCTCGGAAAGTATATTGCTAATAAACACTTTTAAGCAATGCATAATTCAAATGCTATCTTTAATATTGTTTCAGTCACAGTATTTTTTATGAGTTTCTATATTTTAGTGTAACTCTAAATTCCGAAGAATGTTAAAACTGATAATCGTCGCTTTGTTGAATTTCTTTCTCTCTCTCTCTCTTTTTTTCTGAAAGAAATGCTTTGTTTTTTGTCAGAAATAATGTAAGAAAAATAAACCTTCTATTTAAAATAATACTTTAAAATTATTATACAAAAGGAGATAATATATATATAAGGTATTGAAAGTGTAAAAACGTTTAATGTATTGAAAGATTTGTGCATAATTGCAACTCTATATTTATTTTGCGCAATCACAGCATGTTATGTTACCGTGAGATTCTGAATTTTTTACTTGATGACAATCTGCCATTTCACAGAAAAATCACGTAAAAAACAAAAGTAATTATGCTGTCATCATCATAAAATTAATAACATTCATAACAATATTTACCTCTAAATTATTTACTTATCCTTAAAGTAACGGTATTAACACTAGAAAGACGGAAAATTAGTATATACCTGTATTGCCCAAAAGCAGTCAAAATGACTGGGTTGTGAATGCGTAAATAAATTTGTTTAAAATTAATTTTTAACATTTTTTATATTATTTACAGTTATATAACAAGTTATTAGTAAATATTAGCAATAAAAAAATTATATGTTGTACAAAAAGTGACAAAATTCTAAGAAATTGTGTCATTATATACATCATTGTTTTTCTAATTGAAATTAAAAGCAGTCAAAATTACTTCCTTATGCAATCTAGTGTTAACCAGATTAACCGCATTTGGTGCAGAGGTTTGAGAGGTTTCATTGGTAGAGGTTTTGATGGTCTCTCCTAAAAATTTTCTTTTAACATAAAGTCTATGGAATAAATACCATGCCTCCCAAATGTGGTCGTACAGAAAGGAGGATGCTATTTAGTGGTGGTCTTGCTTCAAGGTTCCACTGTATTAATGTATAAATTACTATAACGTTTTTTTTTTCCTTTTCTTTTCAGCTATCAAATTTATCATCTTCTATCGATTTCCCGTCAAAGATTTAATCTCACTATAACGTTTTTTTCTTCTTCTTTTCAGCGATCAAATTTACCATCTTCTAACGATTTCCCGTTCTCAAGGATTTAATCTTACATCTCTTTTTGTGGATGAGAGGAAAGGTGACATCGAACCAAATCTAACCCAACTACCAACTCCGCAGCCATATTATCAAAACGGATACGGAAATGACCAACAGCCTCCCCCAGGAGGACGTTTCTCCCCAGCTGGATACAACAACTGGAATACGCCAACGAGTAATAAACCACCCGATTATCCTGGATTACAACCAGATCGTTGGCGACAAGTTGATCAACCACCAGGAAATGGCGGCACCCTATCGCCAGGAACAGTATCCAGAAACTCTTATGTTAACACATCAGCTCGCCAATCCAGAACTCAAGATCTGTCATCAAACCAAAGAACGTTAAACTCAGGCAGAAACCCATCAGTGCCTCAATTAGAGAAATTTAATTACAATGAACGAAGGACTGTAAATAACCAGAGGAATGAAGGGAATTTTATGAATAACGGATATAATGGAGTGACTCAGTTCAATCGAATGGATCCGAATTCGAGAAACGTTCCATTCGAAAACCCTCAACAATTTGATAATAGAAATTTTACTAGATATTTCACCCCGAATAGTCAAAATCCCCAAGAGCCATTTCAAATACAACCGCCAGTTGTCCAGCAGCGCATCAAAGGTCGAAATTCGCAAAGTGGTCAGACAACAAAACCTTCGATGACTGGTAATTGGAAAGGAGCTCCAAGCTTTAGTGATTATAGCAACTTTGCCGTTGGCGAACAGTCACGTTTCATTGGTAGAAGAGATAGGTAAAACATATTGCATATATTTTTTTTTAATTAAGTCATCTCATATCTAAACCTTTCCTTGTAAAGTTATGTCTAATGAATTTATGTGTGATTCATGCATTTACCATTAGAGCTTAAGATAAAGGTAGTTAAAAGTGATAATTGCATATGGGTTTATGATCTTGACAGGTTAGGGCGTATGGCAACTAAACCAAAGCACATATTCATATTTCTCATTAGAAGTTTTTTGGATATAAACTTCTAATGTAACTTAAGTATCAATTTTTATACTGTTTTTTAATTTTTTACTAATTATTTTTCTTTTTAATTGCAACAATTTTTTTAATAAATTGCTTAGTAAAAATTTAATAAAAGTGTTTGAGTAAATTTCTTAGACAATTCTTTAAGTCAATGTTTTATAACAAACTATCGTAAATCAATTTTAAAATCATCATCGAGACTAAATGTTCTAAATTCTATTTTTTTTTTCGGGTTCTGTTCTCATCCTGTTTTTTTTTCTTTCGATAATCTTTAATTTCTTCGTTTCTAACTTTTTATCGACTTTTTCCATAAATGATCCTTAAGTTTGGTTTGGGGTAGATTTGAAAAAAACAACCGATTTATACAGTTAATCTAAGTGAACGAATCTGCATATTTCTAAAATAAAAAAGATTTCCAACATTGAAGAAAAATAAGACCTTTTTTTCACAAAAATATCACGCTTGATATTATTGTGCAGGCTTATTGCTAAAATCACACTCAAATATCATTCTGTATAACGCGTCCTAAACGTGACACTGCAAAATAAAAATTTAAAATTTTATGGAAATAAATACATTTTATCTACTACAATAGACAAGGTATTTCAAAATAAATTGGGCAAAATGGAAAAGCAATAAGCATGCCTACAAAACAACATAATAACAATATACAAAACAACATAAATGCAAGTCAGTGTAGTTAGAGGGGCTGTAAAATATACACTATGTAAAAGAGCAGAGCCGTGGTGGCTCAGGGGATAGAGCACTCGCCCTCAATGAGGTGAACCGGGTTCGAATCTCAGCGATGACTAATCGATACGAATTCCTCATCCGGTTAGCACCGATCACAATGCTGACGTAACATTTCCTCAGTGGTAGAGGGATCATGAGTTAGAATCCCCTTGCCTTCAGGCTGATTGTGGGAAGTTTTCGTGGTTTTTCTCTGCATGTAACGCGAATGCGAGTTAGCTCCGTTAAAAAGTCCTCCACGAAAGCAAATTTCTCCCAATAATTGAACCGAAAGTTTCTTGGACTTCTGGGTTGAGTTCAAAATAACAGGGCTACGGGAGTTGAACATTAATAGTCGTAAACCCGAAATTATGTCGGCCGATGTTCAACGACGGTTATAAAATATACGTTATATAAAAGAACAACGAACAAAATACATTCTATCTCATTTTATTTTCACTATATTCCCAATTTCCGCACAACGATCAATGCTACTACAGCAGATATCTCAAAGTTTTCGCTAGACTACTGTAATTTCAAAATGTATTCGATAGACATCAGGTGCTCTATTTCTTGCAGTATCGATGCAATTCGTATCTCAGCAGGTTTTACTAAAATTTTGAGCTTCTCATGAAGTGGTATTGGTCATAAATATGTAATCTCTGTAGAGATGCAATAAAATCAAAATAATGTCTATCGATTTTTGTGTGCAGCCTACTCTTATACTCCCGATAGCTTTACCGTTCCCATTATTTCTTTTTATTACTTTCATATGCCTACTTTACCCTTTCATTTTCGCCACGTTATTTTAAAACACCCAGGTTCATAGTTTAAAAAAACGGCAACAAATTTCGAGGTACTTTGATGTTTAGGGGCCCCCTTAAAAAAATTCTTTGAATGTAAATTTAAAAAAATTAAAAAAAACAATGATTTTTAAAAAAAAAATCAATTTTGAAAATATATTAATAAATACGATCATTTTTTTAGTTCTAATTTGACAAAATAAAGTAAAATCTAATTTATTATTATTTATTTTAATTTTAAATATCTTTTCTTAAATGAAAAGATAGGTAAATACTTTTATATTTGAATAAATAAAAAATATACGAGAAAAAAAATTAATCTAAGGGTCCCAAAATTTGAATGGCCTAGGCCCCGCTTGCGCTTAATCCGGCCCTGTATCGAAAGATCCATTTAATAGAAAATCTAATAAAATAAGAAAGTGGTAGCAAATATATATCTAAAATTTGTTTAATTTATGAATATGATTGGTTTATCTTTATTTAATTGTCGACCACTATCGATTCAATTATCTGACACATTTTTCTCAATTACTTCTAAAATAGAAATTGGGTTCATGCGCACAACTGTATTTCCACAGAGATTTTGGTTCACTTTTTAAATAGTCTGCGCAGACTACTTCTTAAAAACCGTGTGGAGGCTTTCTGATGTAGGAGGTGATGGTAATACACAAACATTATATTTACATTGTTCAACACTACATTACATGCTGATATTTTATTAATGTTCCATTTTCATTTTCGCAGTTAAATATTTTCAGTTGTTGTAAAAATTAGTTTAATAATTGACTTTTTGCTTATCTTTGCACTTTAAATATTTAGGCGGAATGAAGATGTGGAAGTGGCATGTGAAGTACGATCTACGTATGTTCCGCCCAGAGCTGCCCTTAGCGACAATTCTGAATGGAAGTATGTCGTGAATGTCCCTGAAAGGGATAGCAGATTCACTCAAGTAGTCAGAGTGGACATTTGCTTGTAAGTATTTTAGTAGTTACTATACTATGTTGCAAGTTTAGAAAAAACCAGTATCCCTATGGAGAGAGCCTGTTTGAATGAAGTGCACGCCAAATGTATATCAAGCACGCCAAATGTGTATCACCAAATGTGTATCGAAGGCGCGGACGAATGTCAACATCGCCAACTCTTGAAGCGACGTTGCCTTCTTTTCGCTAGCTTTATTAAATCGTGTGAAATTAGGAAACAAAAATTATTGGATAATCAATTGACAAGTATAGTTTGTCTAAACTAAGTACTGCCCTAACCATTCGTCTGGACTCATGGCGGTGACTATGGTTACGAGGTGTAATTATTTCAAGTAGGGGTGTGAGGTCACTGTTTAGGGCAGGTTTTGGCTCAGGTCAACGAAGGAAAGGGAATCTTTTTCTTCGGTTTATTGTGTCAGCCCTATAATGAAGATTCTCCCTGAAATGCGCTATTCCATAGCAGTAGACGGCCTCAGAACTTGCAGCGAATAGAGTTCTTACCATAGACAAACTATATTAAGAATTAAATAAAATGATTTCTGAAAATCGTAACAAATATACGTCTTTCTGTCCTCATTTAAGGAAACTGTTGAAAGAGTAATAAATATTGTTTCTTACAGAGTATTTTCTTCTACAGTAAAACAAAAGAAAAAAATTCTTTATCTCGTTTTTGATTTGTTTAGAATCATGTCAGCATAAGACCCGCCATTTTTAGTGGTCCAATCAAATCCAATGCTCCTGCAACGGCATGTAGTTTTTTTTTTCAAGAACGAATGTTTTTATTTATTGAAATATGTCGTAAAATCTAGGATTCCAATAAGACTACGAAACTAAAACCTTTTTTTTAAATAATTATATAATAAATATCGTAAAAAACAGCATGAATTAAACTCCTGCCTGACGTGTTTATCTTTTTAAAGCTCTTATATTATTTTGAAAGCATATTGTATAACTTGATAACGAAACAAAATGGAACTATATGCAGTCACTTAATCCTAATTACTTAAATCGTAAACAGCAATGGACTTTTTCTTAACTTGCAACGAAGTATAGCGTATTGCTATATATCCAAAATATTGAAACATCCAGGTGTTATGAAAGCAATTTGAAGTTAAACCATGAAATCTATTCATTCGTAAATCTATCATGAAATATACTTCATTTGGTGAAAAAAAGATTTTTTTTTAAATGTATAATTCTACGAATATTTGAAGGGGTGTTGTTTTGCTGTTTCTAATCCTCGAAATCTTCCATCGAATTTAGATAGACTAAGCCATAAACATTCAAAATGGCGAAGTAGAGAAGAGGTTCGAAAATTTTTTCTTCCAATGTAGATTCAATATATTTTAAAATATGAACATGTGATGCAGACCTACGCTATGTTTTAAAAATCATCAGTCGTTGGAGCATTGTCCATAGGAGAGACTCCTCAAGTGTCAGCTAGCAAAGCATAATATGCAAGTTTGCTGGCTTATATGGCCTCCCAAAAATAGGACTCCACTAAATCAACTTGTTTAAAATACCTTTTAGTTTTATTCATAAAATTAAACAACAGCAACCATTTATATTTTCAATTCTTACAAGAAACTCAACAAGAGCCGCGATGGCTCAGCGTTCGTCTTCCAATGAGGTGAACCGGGTTTCGATCCCGGCGATGGCTGGTCAATACAAATTTCGCATCCGGCTTGCACCGACCACAGTGCTGACGTGAAATATCCTCAGTGGTAGACGGATCACGGGTTAGAGTCCCTTTGCCGTCAGGCTAACCATGTCTCGTGGTCTTTCCTCTCCATGTAACGCAAATGCGGATTAGTTCCATCAGAAAATTCTTCACGAATGCAATTTTCTCCCAATACTTGATCCAGGAATTCCCTTGTCTTCTGGATTGGGTTCAAAAATACAAGACTATGGAGTTGAACATTAGCAGTCGTAAATCCAAAAATTGCGTATGCTGCTAACATCGGTTATAAAAAGAAACTTAACAAACATATAAAACTTTTAGAGACGTTTTTAAGCAGAATAATTAAATTATTTATATGGGAACATATAAAAACTATTGCTCGCTCTTGTCATAAGTGTTTTGAACAACTAAATTTTTTTAATTGTTGAAATATTATTATTATTTTTTTTACAATTGATGATTTTGAGAACTTTTTTCTGGATCGAATAAATATGGATAGATTCATTTATACCCTAGAGACAAATCTCTTTTCTTTGTCTTTTAAAACTCGAGAGATTCATACTCTGTTGCAAGTTAAGGAAGAATCAATAAATGACGAATTTCCTCCATGCACGATTTGCTTTATTGACAGCCCTTAATATGCATTTTTAGAATACTAGTCAAGGATAGTTGAAAATTAAACTTCTTTAGAGTCACAAACCAATGCTTAAACGTGGAAAATGAAGTATAATAAAAGAAGAGTTTCCTCCATGCAAGATTTGCTGTATTGACCGCCCTTAATATGCATTTGTAGAATACTTGTCAAAGGAAAGTCGAAAATTATATTTGTTAGGAATTCTAAACTAATGCTTAAACGAGGGAAAAATATAAAAAACGATATTGAAATCTAAGTAATCACTAGTGAGGAAGGCATGTCTAAAAACATAAAATCTGTTTGATTGTCGGGGGAAACTGTGGATATTTGAAAGGTGATAGTTAGGAAAGTGTAAGCTCTTAAGTTTAATTACGATATAAACTCTACTGTGCAGTGTAATATAGTTTTCGCTGCCCTTATTTTTGAATTACTTACTTTTTAAATTCTTTCATTTATCCACGAAATTAGGCCGGGATAGCCTGGTTGGCAGGACACTGGACTCATGTTCGTGAAAACGGGAGCTTGAATGCAATCGGCCGAAAACTTCCCATGTAGTAAATAGTGACTGGTGCACGTTAAATCTGTCGGGTCACAAAGTCCTCTATGTTCCTATAACAAATCATACCTCTGGCGGTACTGAATTGGAGATGGGTCGTTCTCTGGTTCAGGTCAAAATTACGATCTGTGGATGAATGAATGTATGAATAGGTCTGCCCTATAAACGGGTGTGGCAGAAGTTGAATTTTTGGCCATAAATGGTTCCACTGGAAAACAGGAAAAATCGCACCCCCTTAATGACCGACGACAACAACAACATCCACGAAGATTAATTTTTTCCCGAAGTTTTTAAAAATAGAGACATCAAAGAAAACCTTGTTAAGAATCAGATAGCCAAGAATTGAAAAATTTGATAATTTTGAAAAACAAAATAGGTGTCATTAAAACAGTTTCTGATATTTCCGGTGGAACAAAGTAATTTAAACCCTTGCACTCGATCTCCTTTATTCATCTGTTAAAGAAATGAATCGAGCTACTTAAAAGTTTGCAAGACCTTAACCCAATCTTTACATGTAATATAACACATAGGGGCCATTTAATAAAAGAAGTTACTGAACATTGACAGGTAAATATTTTAACGTTAGGAGGGGTACGTATTTTGTTGGTCACTGAGAGATAAATCCCGAGTGCAAAAGGTTAAAATGGTTTTAACTATTACTTCATGTAAATAAAATAAACATTTATATGATAATTTTACACGATGGCGAATTTCTTAGTCTCCCGCCCCTTTTGAACTTTAACATTTATTGGGAGGGGCCTCAAGCTATAGAGGTTGGTAATACATATGAACTTGGCTGAGACGTTGTTCTATATTGTAATTTAAAAAAGTGACTTCCTTTTATATCTTCACATTTAATTCATTATATAAAGTTCTATGAAAAAATTACATGTTATTGGTGAAATTTCTATGTTATTGGTGAAGAAATTACAATTAACTATTCTAACAGTGCGTTTTTTCTTTCAAAATGCTTTTTAACTTATAAGTCCACTATAGTAGCTTGGACCTACGGGCAATCACAATTTAAGGCCTATGGCCAGCCCAACCCTACTCATACCCCTCCTTTCTTATTATCAGAAAAAATCTCTCAATCACAAACCCCCTATCCCTGTTCAGTGCTTGCGTAATATTTGAACGACCCCTTTTTAAATTTGTTCTGAATTTTAATATTTGAACGACCCCTTCCAAATTTGTTCTAAATTTATAATATCAAATGCTTTTTTATATATTGAATTCTAAATCCACTTTTGTAATATTTGAACGACCCCTTCCAAATTTGTTCTGAATTTATAATATCAAATGCTTTTTTATACTATATTGAATTCTAAATCCACTTTTGATAATACTTTCTTATTTCAGAAATGCCGGACAACCTTGTTCGTCACGACTGTCCTTGCCTTTTGGGTTCGAGAGTAGGTGTCGACAGAAATATATTAAAAAGAAACTATTGTCTTTGAATTCCGATGGACAAGGAACGTCCGAAGACAATTTCTTTATACCATCTTGCTGTGTGTGTGAGATTACGAGAAACACCGAGAAAAAATGATTTCTACAGCCTTGTGATTATTTTTTACAGGTGGTATTCTTCAGCTAGTGCCAACAATAGTGCGAGGAATGGCAGCAATAAGTTTGCTACGGGAGTCATTTTCCAAGTGATACTCAGCAAGAGTTTAATGAGTCATGAGTTGGATAAAGTACTGTATAAACTATTAAGAGATCGAACACAATAATTCTGCATAATTTTGTACTCGTTGCGTTCATAAGTGAACTTCCTCAATCCAAATTAGTGAATGAAACCTACGTCTGCAACAAATTCGCTGTTGTTTATTTTTTAAAATTGTTTTTAATATTAACATTCTTTTGTAGATTCTTGTATAATAGATAAGGAGCATCGGTAGTTTTAAATATTTCGGTAGTTTATTATTTTTACAGGTGATATTCTTCAGTTAATGCTAACAATAGTGCGAGGTATGACAACGTTTCTTTCGTAACGGGAGTCATTAATCAAGTGATACTCAGCAAGAGTTTAATGACTTATGAGTTGGGTAAAGTGCTAGATCAGTGGTTACCAACTGGCTGCCCCCGAACTAAAATATATTAGTTGTCATTTTTTTGCGGACTATTTTCATAAAAAATCTATATGGGTTTAAAATACTTTTATTTCGTTAAAGAAAAAACCTAATTTCTTCGTTTCCGTGAAATTTAACATACCAACGGTGCAAAAAAAATTATTTCTCAGGTTTTGTATCCAAGAAAATATTAAATCAAATACAAAAATAATCGTGTATGATGCTCTTTTTTATTTCGTTTTCTTGTATTTTGTGAATATAATTTAGCATGTGCATATCTGACAGTAATATTTAATGTTTCTTCAAACATAAAAGAGTCCTACATAAAATTTTGAAAAAGTTGCGGCCCGCCATTTGACTGGTGTTTTTAATTGCGGCCCCTGGGTTCATGTACGTTGGAAACCCCTGTGCTAGATAATCTATTAAGAGATTGAACACAATAATTCTACATAATTTTGTACTCGTTATGTTCGTAAATGTACTTTTTCAATCCAAATAAGAGAACCAATCCAATGTCTGCAATAAATTTGCTGTTTTTTTTTAAATAGTTTTTAATGTTAACATCATTTTGTAGATTGTTGTATATAAGGGACATCGGTAGTTTTAAATTTTGCTTTAAATATTTTTAAAGATAATTTAAAAATCATTTGTCACTGAAAAAGATTGCTTTTGAAGACTTATGTATCAGTGAAACGTTTTCAATACATTTAGTCCAGGCCTTGATTGTTGAGAAAAAGCTAATTCCAATCCAAGATAACGGAAGGGAAATTTGGCTCACAAAGAAATTATTTAAAAAGTTTGAAAACTCATGTTAGTCTAGGGAAGAGAAAATCTTGAATTTGGAAAACGCCATTTAACAATACTTATATATTAACACAATGTAACCGTTTCTTCTTCTTTTAGGGTAATTTATATGAGGTCAGTTTTTTTTTTTGTAGATTTTTTCACTTGTTTGTGTACACATTTTATTATTATTATTTTTATTTTGACACATGACTCACATTTTAATCCTTGAAAAAAGCTCTCTTAGTGCGTAAAAAAATCTCGAATGGACACAAATTGTCCTGACGTCAGTTCATCGAAAGCTTGTGTCGTCACGAGTTTTGTTTTTCAAGCGTCTTTTTCATTTGAAATTGATAATGTCCAGTGTTTTTCACCTTTTTTTTACAATAATAAGGTGGCTGTTAATTTTATATTTAGTTTATCAAATGATATATGATGATTATTGATATAGCGAGTGAATAAGCGAATTAATGGCGCATGGGGAAAAAAGGTACCAAATCAGTGGATATGAGGATCAGAGAGTAAGCAAATCAGTTTATAAAATAAATGAAAAAATTGTAACTAATTTGTATAACGATATTTTTGTGCCTGCAAATACTTTGTTTTCCTATGAAATAACCAAAATTATAAAAAGAATCCTTATAATTTTTTCTTACAATTATTTTTCATCAGCTGTGTAGTTTTGAGTGTAAATCTTTGATTCAAGATATATTATTTCCAGACTTACAAAGGTGAAAAATATCCAAGTAGTTTAATTTTCAGTACAAAACATCTATAAAGATGTTTGTGTCGAAGAAAAATAATTATAGAATTCATTTTTTTTCTTCTCTAGAATAATAACGTCAGTTTTGCTTCTTTTTTTTTCTTTAATAATTTCTGTAATTTTAATAAATTTTTAAAAGTAATATTTATATAAATACATTTACTTTAAAAAAGTATTTTAAAAAATCGTAAAAGTTTTTGATATATTTTTTAATGAACTATTAAATACTGAAAAAATTTTAATACTGTTGTTTATTGCTATAATAGCATAACTGTTATTTCTTCCGAATTTTCAGAAAGATTTTGTTTTTATATTTAAAGTGAGTTAATTTATTTATCTATTTAATTCTTGAATTATATATCTTTTCTTCATCAGTTTCTGAAATAAAAGTTTTTCAACAGCTAATATAATAAAATATTTGCTGATTATTATTGTATTACGTTGATAATATTTCTCACTAAATTTTACATGAAATTATGTACCAAATTTTATAACGCTACATTGGCAATCAAGATATATTTGTATTAATTAATCCAGATTGATTTTTTTTAGGGATAAGCACGAATGGCTTTTACCTTTGTACTTATCTAGAAATACAGACTCTTCAAATATACAAGTTTTTTATTTTAAATAAATTTTTTTTTAAAAATTTTCTTGATTTTTTTTACAATGCGTAACAGTTAAAAAAATTATTTATTTTACAACAATTGATACTGAAGCCAGCAACCCTGAAAAAATAAGTTCTACCGATGTTACATCAAGCTATTTCTTTTTACTTTCTGAAAATTGGTTTTAAAGATACATACATTTCAGTCTGTAAATAAATTGTTTTGTTGTTCTGTTATAGTTTAAAATAAAAAAATAAAGTAAAAGTTTCAATAATATTTCATTTGTCTTGTCGTAATACTTTTTGTAGAGAGCACCGAAATATATATATATATANATATATATATATACAATATTATTTAAAATACAAATACAACAATAATGAAAATTAAAGATAAAAAATATAAGAGCGTGATTTTTATTAAAGCTATATAAAGATTATTAATGGGTTAACAAAAATTAAATTAATTGAAAAAAATTCTTGCTACCAGATGCGTAGAAAACCTGAAACATTAAAGATAATAAATATGTAATACACTGGTTGAAACTGATAACCATTTTTAAGAAAGCTTCCAAAAGAAAACACTTTTAAAATTTTATTAAAAACTAAAATTTTATTGTAAACGAAAAGTCCTTACCATAGTTTTTACGATATTTTGCAGTTATGTCAGACAACGAGAATAACTAAATTTTAGAAAAAAAATATTCTGCCACTTTACTATTTAAATTTTATTTTACATTAAATATTAACAGTTCAACAATTTTTGACATATTGCACAAGAAGTCAAATTTTAAAACACTAGCTGAAACAAGCTTAGTGTTTAAGTCTGATGGAAGGAAGGAATAATGTTCTCATTGTTCCTAATGCTAACTTGATCCTATTTGTGGAAAGTATTTTCTAGTGGTAACAGAATTAAGTAAGTAATTTTTAATTTATCATTTTAAATAATTTTTCCACCACTACGGGCCTGCCAACTACTACGCTTTTTTGTAAAATATTTTATAGAGTGGTAGACATTTTAAAACCAAAACTTTCAGAACTTTTGGCAATTTTGCCAACATAAAAGGCCTGGTCTGGTTTGCTTAGTTTAGCTGGACTCCAGAGGCCTATAATGGCCCTTTTCCCAATCATCCTGTAATGAGAACTTAAGCAAACACAATAGATTACATAAAATGCAACAGTTAAATGGCACATGTTAAGGTATTAAAAAAATAGCGCTTTGCTATGGTAATAAGAAACAAATAATTGAATGTATAGAAAAATACAATACATATTTACAAGAAGAATAACTATTTACGAAATATGAGAAGAGTTAGCAAAATTCAAGATGAGAAACGACAAGATCATAAAAAAAATTTCATTAACCAAAAAGTGTACCTCTGTTAAAGTAGAGATCCGACCGTCCTGGTTATTACCACTAGTGTCGGGTTGACATTTTAAAAGGCGGAACGAAGTGTTGCATGTGTACTTTTAAATAATTTTTCTGCAGTGGTGTGAAAAATACGTTTAAATGAATAAAAATAAATACATTAAGGCATTAACTTAGCTACCACTAGAATAATTGTTTTACAAAATGCGTAGAAAGTTGGCATTTGGGATTACGAAAATTTTAATTTTAACGAAAAGTCTTTTGTTTAAGTTTGATGGTAGGAAGTAGTGGTACAGGCAGATATGCAATGCAAACTCGTTCCTCTTTGTTAAAGATATATTCTAGTGGTAACAAAATTTAAGTTATTTTTAGTTTAGTATTTTTTGTTTGAAGTATGTTTTCCTCCCCTACATATCAAAAATTTAAACTATCATATAAAGTGCAACTTTATTTCATGGTCACTCTTATAATGAATAGGCCTAGTTATCCTTAATTCTCTACCAATTTATTAAAACTTCTGCAGAAAGCGGTGCAATTTGAATCTCTGTATAGGTAGCAGAATTCATTTGTAAGATTCAATTCTAATTTCAATTTTAAGAAACAGTTTAAAAATCCGAAATAGAGCATATAGTGTGACTTTAATTTCGTTATTCAATATAATTAAATGAACATATTTCATTTAGTTATAAAGAGTTTGAAACTACATTTTGTTTGTTTATTTTTAACCATAAATTCAAATCTTGAATTTATATAAGTAAATATGTTTCACACGTTGAATGCCGCGCTAATTTTACATGACTTGCTCGTCTGGCCACACGGTATATTACTACAAATTAAATTTGCAAATATTAGAAAGATTTTGCTAGTTTTTAAAAGGTTTAGCATGACATATCTGGATAAAATGGTGAATTATAAAGGCCAACAAATTGTTCAGAAATAGTGGTGGATAAAAATCTACTAAATTGAATTTATTTAGCGAAGAATCACAATTACTAAACTACCACTTGAAAATATTTATTCGCTGTCCAGAGCAAGTTGTCATCTCTGTGTAAATAAAACTATTTTTGTGTGTTCTATATTGCATTGACTTCTTCAAACCATTTTAGTAACGATAATAATATTAAAAAAAATTAAAATTTACTCGAATTATGTGTTTCTAATAATCTTGGCTTCGTCGGTCACCGGTGACCTCCGTTGCGCGACGAACAGACTCAGTGCCGGT